TTTTTTTTTTTTTTAACCTTTGCGAAATGTAGCTACTATAAAGTTAGCAGTGCAATATATTTTGAATCCTTACAACAAATGCAAAATATAAATGCATTGCTTTGCGCCTAACTTTACATATATGTAAATAAAATTATTTTTCATAAATGAAATACAACTTTTTTTGGGGTTTTAATTTAAATATTTAAAAAAGTAACACTCCATAAAACAATAGTTTTCATTTTACAACTCCATCATTTTATAAAAACAATACGCATATATGAATAATTACTGCATGTCCAATTTTTTAGTAAAAGGTTTAAAACCAATATATTATATGTAGATCTACAATCGGCATTACTAATCCCTTTTTAATTTCTCTTCCTTTGTTACCTCTTCCTTTTTTTTTTCTTTTTTTTTTGTGCCAAAAAGTATTCTTTGCATCTGTGCATTTTTTATTTTTTCATTTACACGTGAAACAAATATGGACCAATATCATGAAACACAAGAACACCAATTAGATACATTGTCTTCGAATGCTTTAATAGAAGAGAATAATTATAATTTATTACATAAAATTGGCAGCAAAGAGTTGTTCATTCTTGGTGTAACTTCTATAACAATACTTTTAACTAGCTTTATTTTTTTAAGTATTATTAATTTGCTAGGAGTAAAGCCACAGAAAGAAGTAAGTAAAAAGAGTACTTTTGCTTTCCTTTTTTTTTTTTTTTTTTAAATTTACTCACTACCAATTAGTATACATAAATGTACATCCCATAGACACATATAAGAGAAGTACGTACACGGACAATTCCTATCACATAATAGTTGTCCTTATCATCATATACCTATTTTTGTACTTGTTGTGCTTCTCAATATCACATTTTTTTTTTTTTTTCAATATTTTATTACTTCGTTTTATTACTTTGTCTTATTTTTTTAACAGCCAGTACAAAAAGAAGCGGACAAAAAAGATGGTGACACACCCGATCTGATTAACAACGAAAAAGAATATGCAGAGAAATCTGAAGAATGGAAAGCAAATGAATGGAAAAAATGGATAGCAGAATTAGATAAGAACTCAGAAACATTCGCGTCATTCTTAAAACAAAAAAAAGAAGAATGGATTCTTCAAAGAGAACTAGAATGGAAAGAATGGATAAAATTTATGGAAGAAAAATGGGATCATTATAGGGAAAATGTGAATCAAGAATTAGATCCCTTAATTTTTAACGATGCATCAACGTGGACAGATGAACAATGGAAAAACTGGATGAAAACAAAAGGAAAACAACTGATAGAAAATGATTGGAAAAATTGGGTTTCTAAAATTAATTCATATCGAGGAGCAGTGATGGATGCAGAATGGATTCAAAAGAAAAATGACAAAATCATGGAATGGGTTAAGAAAGAATGGAAATGTAAAGAAGATAATTATTGGGATTCCTGGGAAAATAATACATGGTCAAAATGGTTCTCTTTAAAAGAAAGAAAAAAATGGACCCAGTGGAAAGATAGACTCAATAAAGAAGCAGAAGAATGGATTGCGTGGGTAGCAGATAAAGAAAATCAATATTTAGGTGATGCAGAAGAAAAGCTAGAAGAATGGAAAAAGAATCATTACATTTTGTTTAACAAGTGGATGCAATCGTACATCAACAAATGGATTGCTGAAAAAAAATGGAATCATTATTCTAAACAGCCTAAAATTTTAGAGCATACAGTAGAAACTGACATAAATAGCTAGCCAAGTGAAGTAAATTTTTTTTTCTTTTTTTTGATTTTCCCAACCACAACACGAGAAATAACGCAGAACAAAACCATTATGAATGAACAAATATCAAACAAGGACAATAAAAAAAAAAAAAAAAAAAAAACTTCCAAAAAAGAACAATTTTTTGGGGGCTTTTCTTTTTTAGTATAATTATTCAAGAAATCATGTTGTAGGAATCAAATTGGATGAATTTACAAGAGGAAGAAAAATGTATATACTTGTGTATGGTAGAAGTTGTATGTCATATGTGGTACTCAACATGATGTAAAATATAATATGACAAATGCTGAATAAGTCCCATCCCCTTAATGGTACACACATTTTCCTTAAAAAAAAGTGCCATAAGCATATAATACAAAATCTGGATAGGTATTTCCCTATATCTGCAATAAAGTGTAAGTTGTACCCGAGGTCTTAAACGTATATCCCCCACCTCCAGCACAAGCAGTAGCAGCATTATAAAAGTGGCATTTATGTGAAAAATAAAAAATATTACTGTCATTACGCCAATTCTTTTTTCATATTTTACCCATGTATAGTACACACCTCCCTGTATGTGGATATTTATAAATATAATTAGTTGTATATATATGTACATGTGTTGGAATTCTAATTTATACAACCACTTTTTTCATTGCATATCTCCCTTGTTTTTAATTTCCTTTTTATTGTTACAGGTATCATAGTGTACCATTATTCCTGGTCAATTTGGATAGTACTCCCACCACCACCCTCAGGCAAAAGTACGAATGAGTGGTAGACAACTACATCTCATAAACGTGTTTAGTGTCAAAGCAAATATATATATATATGTATATATATAAACAAAAATGCAAAAACATGTACAAAAAGTTGTAAAAATAAATAAAACTAGTAAAACGAAATAAAAGTTAGAAGTTTCCATATTTTAATGCTTTTTCCCATGGAAAATGTTTACAACACATCAATATGACTTCCTTAGTAATCAGGTGATAATAGTAATTACAAAATTCAGCCATCTAGAAAATTGTTATGCATATTCGCCACCTTATTTTAGGGTAGCCTTTTCTTTTCTTATACTACCTAGACGATATCATTTTGATAAGATGTTTTTTTTTTTTTTTTTTATTATTTCCACAGTGTAACTAGTGGCACAAACTACCATCACTAATCTTGCATAAGAAAATTAAATATATACAAATCATGTGTCCTGATAAAATAAATAGAGCATCATCAAATTTTGCACGTAAAATGTGTTCTAATACGAATTGGGATGTGTTGCAAATTTTCTACATTTTGCAATTTTTGACATGTTTAAATTATTTTCATTTGTCTCCCTTTTTATTTGCACCCAGTTTTGGTTTTACAAAAATGTTATATTAATATATATAAATATATATATATACGTATGCATATTAATGTATTTTTTTTTCTGTTCTTTTTTTTTTTTTTTTTTGAATTTTCCAATAATTGTTATACAAATTTTTCTAAAATGATAATTTGTTCCATTGCTTTATATTCGCGCTTGTTCAGCATATATTTTTAGTACAGCTGATATGCATATAACATATATATACATATTTGTACATACATATATACATAAATACGTATATATACAGTACAAGACCTCATAACTTGTGCTTATCCTAAAGTATGTTTTTTTTTTTTTTTACTAAAAAATAAAATTCATGTAATATAATTTTGCAAAAATGGGAATACGATAAGGACAAATATGTTTTTATATAAAGTTACTCCTTTAGCCTATTCTTAGATTTTTAGTGAACTTGTGAATGTACAAAGACAAATAATAAAATGAGAATTTGTTTAATGAATAAAAATTATATGGTCGTTTTTTTTGACAAATGTTATTATGTATATTATTGACCATTGTATTATCATGTAAAAAATGAATGTCATTTTTTCCTCCTCCCAATCCAATCCAAAGCAGTTCTATTATTGTTTAGATCATGTTTCATTTATTAACATATGAACATGTAATGCAATGCAATGTAATGTTCAATTTTTTTTTTTTTATTCTTTCTCGATATAACAAAAATAATGATAATAAAAAAAAAAAAAAAAAAATTACAAATTAAATTGCTTGTCAGTTTCTCTATACCCTATTTCTTTCTCTTTCTACTTTTTTTTTTTTCCTTTTTTTTTTTTTGTGCCCTGCAGGTTTTCCTTATCTATTATTTTTAGGGACATACAGAATTGCTTATTCTTAAAAAAGGAATGGTTCTACTATTAAGCATTTAAAAAGTACAACATTACAAATACATGTAATACATACAATCAATCATGCCTTAGTATTTAATAGTTAAATTCACATATGTAACAAGGGACATTAAAAAGAAAATATTAAATAAAGGGTCTTCTTTTCATTATCAGTTTTATGCCAAACATCGACCATATTTTATTATTGTAGGTATGCTTAAAATCTTACGTGTTCGATATCACCCCTAATAAAATATTAAAGCTTATAAGTACGTACATATGCATACATATATATGTGGCCTGTTTATAATGCCATAAATCCCTCCTGTATTGTTAGAAGTTTAGGAACTCAGAGTGTTACAGAAGAACAATTTATTAATTTTACAAACAAAATAAAACAGAAAAAACTATAGAGAAAAATGATAAATGTTTTTTAAAACATAATGAAAAGGAAAAAAAAAAAAAATAAATTATGTTTTTCCATCTATCTATATTTCTTTTTTCTTTTCTTATTTGTTTTCTACTTTTATTTTAGACCTACTTTTTAAATAAGTAATAAAGGTTACAAAAAAAAATGCGTGCAAATTAAAATGTCCTCACTGAATGGGCAAAACCTATATAGGATATATGTATATATCATTATTATGCATACGCATGTTTTCTTCTTTTTTTTTTTTTACAATTTAGCAATGTTTTATTTTATAATACATACACCTACAAAAACAATATAAGCAAAAGTAACGCAAAATAAAAATACAATGATATTTTAAATGTTCCATATTTCACTGAAGCAAAGTTTTTCATTGTAAAAAAAAAAA